GACTTTGGTCTTCAAATGCTTTCCTGTATCCTCATATCAAGCAACTTGCTGTATTATTAACATATATAAATAAAGATACCTCTGTTTCACTGTAACCCTTCTGCCAAAACACAGTCATGAAGACTATGCCCGAGATACAGAGATGCTGCCAAACAAATAACCCAATTGGCCCAGATTCTACCTGAACTTTAGGGAAGCTGGTAGGTTTGATAATCTGATGAGCTGAGTATTGAGCTTTGCCACTGCCTAAAAGATCCTGTTCCTTTCCTCTGTTTGCATCCTCTTTCAATAACGTTCTCCTGCTGCTTAACATGTACCAGCATAAGGGCTCACTGGAACTCTCTGTCAATTCAGTTTCCTCACACAGCAGAAAACTGCCCAGCTGTGTATTTTCTCTTGAAAGATCTAATGAGCAGCACCACCAGGTAGAAAGAGAGGAAGGGAAAGAGCAGGAGCAGAGGTAAGGACAGTGCCAGGTTCTGCAGTTGGGATGGGGCTACCCTGGATGTATGGACAGAATGGGGGATTGGATACTGGAAAGGAGCACTGCAGAAAGGGACCTGGGGGCTCTGATTGCTGACAAGTTGAATTTTAGTCACCAATGCCCTGGCAGCTGGGAGGGCCACCTGTGTCCTGGGTGCATCAGGCACAGAATCACAGCCAGGCAAGGGAGGGGATTGTCCTGCTCTGCTCTGAGCTGGGACAGCCTCACCTCCAGTGCTGGGGGCAGATTTGGGTGCCACAATTTAAGAAAGATATAAAGCTATGGGAGAGTGCCCAAAGGAGGACCACAAGGAAGGTGAAGGGTCTTGAGGGAAAACCATATGAGGAGCAGCTGAGGTAATTTGGTCTGTTCAGCCTGGAGGAGACTGAGGTGAGATCTCATCACAGTCTACAACTTCCTCATGAGAGAAGAGGAAGGGCAGACTCTATTTCTTCTCCTTGGTGACCAGTGAGATGACTTGAAGGAGGGGCCTGAAGTTCTGTCAGGAAGGTTTAGGCTGGATATTGGAAAAAGGTTCTTCACCCAGAGGGTGTTTGGTCACTGAAACAGGCTCCCCAAGGGAAGTGGTCACAGCATGAGCCTGGCAGAATTCAAGAAGCGTTTGAACAGTGCTCTTGGGCACATGGTGTGACTCTTGGGGATGGTGCTGTGCAGGGCCAGGAGTTGGATTCAATGATCCTTATGGGTCCCTTTCAACACAGCATATTCTGTGATTCTCTGCTTGCCTGCTTTCACTGTGAACCAAAATCAGAGAGCTGAGTTTAAGTGGGATTAAAACATGAATCTTTGTCCTCTGGAGGAGAGTAAAATCACTAATGCTTACAGGGTTCTGTGAATGGGACAAGGAGAGAGAATCTGGCCTGTTACTGTGCTGGGATTGATTTTAACTTCAGTGGTCTCAAATCTTCTAAAATGCAGAACAGTAATGTATTTTTCCTGTTTTCTTCATTTTGTTCTGTTCTTCCCAATTCACTTCTTATAATGGGACCACACACAGGATTAAAGACACTACAAATCTAATTGCAGTCTGGAATGAATTTAAGGAGAAGTAAAAAATCACAGAGCGTGCAGCTGAGCTGGTTTTCTCCAACACAGCTTAACAAGATGCTTTGCTTGAACATTTACAGTGCTATGAAGGCCTATTCTTTCTTAAGCTTTTAACTAATTTTTGAAGTTAGTGAGAATTTATGGCCCTTGGCATAATTTTTAGCATACTAGAAAATAAAAAAGAAATTAAAGAATTGAGCATAAACAATGAAAATTGCATGTAGGTTTGCTCTGTGAAGATGACAGATTACTACAAGTACTTGAGTATCAGTTAATTTAGAAATTATCAGTTTGCACTTATTTTTCATGTGATCTCATTTATCACAGAAATGGTTGCTAGGCTGCTATGCTTTGAAATTTGAAACTTTCTCCAGAAAAAGAGCAATTGTGAAAAGGTTTTTTTAAACATATTTTCTTTTTGGCAGCCTCTCTATAGCGAAATTATTGATGCTATATGGTTTTCTTATATCAAGAGTTCATTGTACAAGCACTTATACCTAGACTTAATTTATAGTTTATGTTAGATCTCTGAGTGAAGTTAAGCATGCATAAGATGTATGTATTCAGCTGACCTTAAATTCCTGTTAACTTTCTGTACCTAATATTTTCTCCTTGCTCCTGGCAATTATGTTTCCAGGTTACTGTTTCGATCATGGAAATAATTTTTCAGTGGTCACTAGCTTTCACCACTGAACAAACACGGAGACTCATGTAAAATGGAAGCTGTGTGTCTATGAGCCGAGTTGCTTAAAACCCCAGTGAGATGATGAACAGTGAACATTACATGCCTGCATGGCACCTTGGCTAAGTCCTCTCAAATCCCAGTCCCTGGGAATTTTTAGCAAGTCTTGCGACTTTCCTCTCACCTTTTCTTTGTCAGGGTCACTTTAAAACACTTTAAGTCTATTACAGATGGAATGGGATTCTGTCTGCAAGCACTGGAGATCACTTTTGACAGTCATGGCTTGCTGCTTTTGGCACAACCTCGCCTCATGCTGAGCAGGACAGTAGTTGGCTGTTGTAGGGAGCAGCCAGGCAAGAAGTCCTGAGTGAGAGACAGAAATAGGAAGAGGTAAACAGACTAGAGAGCCCTTAATCCATGCAATGGGAGCAGCCACTGAAAGGAACCGGTCAGGGAAGTCAATACTAAGCTTGTTTTGTATTTCAGAGAGAGGAGAGTTATACCTTTCTGCTAGAAATTCTGAAATACACACATATACCTATTAATATAAATACTTAGCTGGATAGTTCTGATTTCACCAACAGTTATTTGAATATTATATACTAAAGAACCTTCTTTGTGAATTTGAGACCCAGGAGGCCTGGCACTTTATCCACTTATATCCTTTTCCTAAATGACTAGTTAATGCCAGGGGAATTAGTCCCCATATACAATACTCCTGACTTAATTTCTGAAGTGCCAGAATGGGGCCAGGTAAATCAGTAGACACGTAAGCCCAGAAATGTAGCGGGATCCTGATTCAAAAGACAACAGGAATCGTTGCCAAACCCAAACTGTGACTGCGGAAAGTATTTACATCCTAAGAAATGGGCACTACATGCTATTGTCATGAAAAGAAATCAAAAATTACAGAGAAAAACCCATCTCACTCCTCAGAACATCTGGGGAAAGCAGATGGATAGAAGGCTGATTCCCAGGAATATACAGGAGGCAGAGTGATCCACCCACCCTCTGCTTCATCGCTTCCTGCTTGTCCTGAAGTCTTGAAACCCATGAATGGTTCTGGGGTTGCAGGAAGGATGAATTGACTCTGAGACATTGGGGAAAATGCAAGGATAAATACTCCACTTAAATGCCTGAAAGGGGAACATGATGTTGGGCTGGAGGGAGAGCACAATTACTTCCTGTGCTGAAGGTAACTGAGAGAGCAGGTAGTAGGGACAGAGAAAATTATTTTATTCTAGTGTGGGATTCTCCAAGGAGGTATGAGCTCTACATTATGAAGCAATCAGTAAGCCAAATATTTATAAAATGTTTTTAATCAAGTCTTCTAGGAATAGCCCATAAAGCTCTGACTAACATACCCTTACTAGGAGTCTGAGAAAAGTTGACAACCATGCAAATGCCACCCACACAGCTGGTGGCTGTGGGCCCAGAAATCAGGGCATTCCAAAATCTGCAGGACAACACCTTATAACAATAAAGCAAGTCCCCTTCTGTTGACAGCATCCCTGTGGCTCCCAGGTAGGCTGGCAGGAGTGTCTCTGCAATCTTCTTTGAGTGCAACAGCTCCCTGAGTATCCCTCTCCATTTGATGGAAGAGACCTACCCCACAGACAGCTGCAGGGAGTACCATGGCTTTCTGATGTCCTCTAGCCAGATTTGTTGGCTTGCTAGAGGTTTTGCAGCACAGGCTGGCTGGAGCAGGGCTTGAGGATGTGAACAGGTATGCTGGGAAGGAGGGAGCACAAGCAACATGTCTCCAGAAAGCAAAGATGGGAGTTCCTCTGTGGCTTATAAGCATCTATCACAGCAGGATACAGGCAATTGGAGTAGTCTCTTCTTGCTCAGGATAACCCAGTAGTTTAATTTAGGCAACTACAATCCCAGACATAAAACTAAAATGCAGTGTGTGTAACCACTGAGGTCCTGCATGAGGTATTCAATCACCTTGATTAATCACCTTGGTTTTGTCTGGGGGGTGGGAAAGAGGAATTTTAGAAAGCTGAATAAAAATCAGCACTTCAAAAAAATGTATAGTCTACCCTTCCTTGCTGTTTATAGGCCTCTAATTTGGTAGTGCTGCTGCAGCTGCCAAACTGTAGATTGGCTCAAAATTATTGTAATAACATTAATTTCTTATATATGAGGCAGTGTAGGAAGAATTTTATTTTCAAAAATCATTAACTAAGTATGGAAGATAAAATAGATTACTTATAAACATATATTTTTAGCTAAAAGAACTTGATTATATTAGAAGTTCTGGTCTATAAATATAACAAAGTTTGTGAACTGTTCCCATCTGTCTGGTCCCTGTCCTGTGTCAGTAGGGGGAAGTAGTAACTAAGACCTTCTCGTCTTAGATACTAAGAGCTTTCATCAGAGTATTTTTGTCCACCCTCCTTTCTCTCCCTCTTTTACATCAGCAAGAAGTTTTATTTATATTCTGCTATGAGATATTATATCTACTACGGAAAATTACTGACTACTGCTTTGTCAGTGGTGCTTATGTCCAAGTAAATCTGCTTAGTTTACAAAATTTTTTGTTAATCTGGATTAAAATACTGCAGGTGCTTCTCCCTGAAAATATGAATATTGTTTCTATTAGGCTAATCACTGCAACAGCAGTTTTCTAAAAATTGCAGTGATGATGGCTTTGAGGCATGCAGCATGAGAAAGGACACCTCTCGTTCCCCATCCAGACCTCAGGCTGTGTCTCCAAATCTTGTGCCTGCTCCGAGCAGAGCCAGTTTAGCTCCACCCTCTGAGCAGTCCAGCCCTTATTTATATGAAGTCTGTGGTCCAACTGGCTTCAGATGGTGTGTGTTATGTGCGTGTGCCTGCCTCCTGAGTGAGTGAGACGAGCTGGAATCACGAGCCAGGGTTGTTCCAAGTGGTTTTAATCAGCAGCCCATTAGAGGAGAACAGAAAACTTCAAACAGGGTAAGAACCAAGTAAGTAAACCTAACTTTGAACTTGCAATCGGGACAAAACAAATGCAAATGAAAATCAAAATCTTCATAGTCTGTCAGTTTTCAGATAAATTATCACTTTTAGAGAGTAAGCTGTGCCTTCTAACAGGAAGAAGGAAATTTAAAAGGACTGGAATGAAGAAAACTGTAAAAACAAAGTGGGAATTGAGAATACAAGAGAGAAAAAACAGCAAACGATTGTTCACAAAGTTGGTACACTCTTTTACTTTTTTCAGCTGTGGACAGGACATGTTAAGCTTTAACCTCTTGCTTTCTTGAATACTATTGTCTGGCTGAGTGCATAGTTCCTTTTGCAAAGGGGGTGAAGATTTCTGCTCCTCACCTGTCTGCTGGCAGGTTTGTTTTCCTGAGAGCATGAAGCAGAAGAGCTCTCCACGGCTTCTTGCAGGATGCCCCATAGCATGCTGCTGTTTTCTGCTGCTCACTTGTTGTTTGTTCACAGGTTGTTCCAGTAACTCCATGGGAAGGTGTTCCCCAAACCTCTGCTCCTTTGGAACTTGTGACTTCTTGCCTGGTACCAGGAAAACAGCAGCAGAAATGGGAAAATTCTTGCTAGTTTTGGGTAAAGTGTGCCTCTGACATTTTTTACCCTGACGTGGCTACTTGAACTGCATCTGCAATGTGGCAAAGGGCGAAGTGAGGTCGGCAAAGAGGCCATGGTGTGTGGGCAAGTCCCCAGATGCCGCAGGCTTTGTCGCCCTCGTCCCTTCCTTCTGGCCCTAGTGGTGGCCCTCTGTCTGTTCTGCCAGACCCTGACTCCTCTCATGACCAGCAGCATCCTTTCAGCAGTTGTTAATGGGATTGCACCCAACAAACTGACTAAAACACAGCAAGGAAGATACAAGGAGGTCTCCCCAAGCACCATTCACTGCTTCCTCCCTGGCAGCTATTCAGAGACAGTGAAAAAGGTAAGTCAGCTGGAGCAGAGTGCTGAGCAATAATTAGCAAAGCGAGGGATAGCAAGTCTGGCAGGATCATCTGAGTCCAGCTAAAATTAGCCTAAGCTTGGAAGTCTAGGATCTGTATACAAACAAATGGGTGATCTAATGACAGCAGCATATGCACAAGCACATTCCCATGACCATCTCCTCAGTGTGCTGTTATTAACACAGGAATCCTGAAATCTTCAGCTGAAATATGGCATTGCTGTGTGACTCCAGGAAGATTTCAGTTTGCTGCACAGACCATGCTTTATTTTGGCTTTGGGAATTGGTTTAGAGGCTTTACAGCACAGGCATGTAAATCAGGAGCCAGCAGGGTTTCATGGAAGTGACTGAGGCTGTTAATTGGCACAGGGACTGCAGCTGCCCTGTATTAAAGTTATCTGCTCATCAGCTCTGAACTTTACTGGGATTCTGATGAGAAGCTGAATTTAACTGCATTTGAGAAACAAAAGTTAAATTCAGCATCTCAAACGCAAAACTGCATTTGAGAAATAAAAGAATATTTTCAAATCACACAGTATACTTTGGAATCTCTGTCTCGAAAACTTTACTTTGTCTATAGGTTATACCTGACTTCATGTTTATTTTGTATAGGGTTCGTAGGATGGGTGTTAAAACCTAGCAAAAGGAGTTGCTGTTATTTTTGTTGGAAAATGTAGTTTGTTAAATGGTCTCCAGACTGAGGTAGTTATTTTTACTCTGGAATCTGTGATCAGCACTAGCACAAATGTTTCAGGTTTCTTTAAGTCCTATAGAGGAGCTGCTAACAGTGCAGCAGATAGCACACTGTGAAGTTATCATTATGCTAACATTTTCTATACAACTTTAGCAGAACTGTAAAAAATTTGTGACCTCACAATTTATGGACAGCAACCACATAAAGCAGTTCAATTAAAAAAAAAAAAATCCAATTAAAAAAACAGGCTGCTTCTTTGATTAGACAGAGTTCATAGTCTAAAAGGTCAGCAATATTGATTTTAGGAGAGCAGCTGTAAAGTGCATCTTCTGCAACAATCAAAAACAGATATGGGGAATGACTGTGGCATGAGCTCTTTAACCTTAACTCTTAAAGTACTGAGTGTTTTTCTTACAGAACATACTGCATTTGTCATAATTTAATATTTTAATGACCTTTTAGTACACTAGGTACCCGGATTCAGATCTGATATGCAAGATGACATAAATAATTAAAGCTTAAAGGGAAATAAGCACAGCTGACATATGCAGGTTGCATTGCGTTACATCTATAGAAACAGACCATTCCTTTTTACTCATTGCTGTTGTAATGGCAACAAAAATTTCATACCTTGGGCTACTTAATGTCTGCTAGAACTGGTGAAATAATGGCAAAATTTTGCTAGTATGCTGCTTGGCTGAAAATATCTGTAATGTCTTCTTTTGCAAATTGTCTAATTAAAAATGCAGATTGACATCCAACTTGGTGTGCTGGCCAATTGAAACAAGAAGAAAGCTTTTGTTTTTACAACATGCTGTGCTTACTCCTCTCCAGCATACGTGGTTGAATGTGACTATGTCATGCACATGCCAGACCTGCAGTACAGATGTGTGTATATTAACCCTTATAGGTATGCTTTCCAGGGCTGTGCTACCTTAACACATTCCTTTTCAAGTTCTTAAGACCACCCAAAGCTGGCTCCCTGTTTGTCTTGAATTTTTCCTCTAGAGCATGATGAACAAAATGTCTTGCACATGTTGAGATGTTACTCTAAGTTGCTCTCTGTTTCCCAACTTTCTCTGCGGTTGTGTGGGCTGAATAATAACCTCAGAGAACAGAAAAGACAAACCTCGCCAAAAATCTCTACCACTTTGCTTTGAAAATGTGTTCTTGAACTGTGTGTTTTCATCCACTGCTTATTCAAATAGCTGAACTGTTATCTGGCTTGATTTTATTGGGCACTCAGTAACATCTAAGACAGATGTCACTGTTGAAACTTTACACTGTTTTATTTTACAGTCACGTGCCTACTGATGGGAGCTAGTTTGGAAACAACTTTTCATTAAAGCTCTGGTTAAAGTCTTCATGTATGAACCTGGAAAAATTCTTTAAAATACAGTTATTTACATTTATAATTAACTAGTCATACATGTATTCTTATTCAATAAATAATCCAACAAGAAAATTTAAATGCATTAAAAAGAACCTATTATATAGTTGAACGGTGACTTAAAGCACACATTGCATCATGTCTTATGAAATCAAAGCTCATGAATAAATTTTAAGGAAAATAAGACCCTGCTGGAGATAGTATTTTTTAAGTAGCATGTAGTTTTTAGGGGTTTTGAGCAATTTGTTCTTGCTTCCAGTACTGTGAGTCCGTTGTGAGAATTTGGTTCTGGATGTTATTACAGGGGAAAAATCCCCTTCCAAAATCTAATAATTTCTTCATTCAGAGTATGCATAGCACTAAATGCCTCAAAAAAAAATCCACAAAACCAAACCAAACAAAAAAACCTTGGCATCTTTTATGAGCCAGTTGTTGGAGGCAAAGGAAGAGACCTTAGGAAAAGTCCAGCTTTGCCAATGTATTTCTGATAGCAACTTTCACCTCATTTTGGAGAGTTACAGACAAGTGTGGAAGAAGCATGGGGATGGACATTGTCAATTACATCTGTAAATTTGTCATCCAGGATGCTCTGGGACGGAGCCCTTCCTGTTGGGCGCATAGTGCAAGCTGTCTTTTTTAAGTTGCAAAAATGCAGATTTCATTCATAGACTGGAAAACTAGGCAGAGCTCATAGTACTCCTCTGTCTGGTATCACACAATTTTAAAAGCTGCCAGAGATCTTGTCCTGAAGCTTTAAATTCACAGGAACAGAGGTCAACATTTTCTAGTATAAAATAAAATGTTAATATCTGAAGCATGAAAAACAGAAGCCTTATTTCTGAATCTCCAGCATTAAAGGCAGTAGAGAGTGATATCATATCTAGCAGAAAGCCGTCTGCAGGTTTAGCAAGGCAAGAAGGATGAAATATTTGTGAATATATATATAGTAGGGAGAAGAGCTGGTGCTATAGCATCAAAACTGGAATAGGTATCAACAACAACAAAAATAAAGCCATACAAGCCCTCTGTGTAGTTTGCCTGGCACAGTATTGTGCCAGAAATACTTTTGGTACCAGCCAGCCAGCTGTAATACTGTTATGCTTATCTTAAGTAATTTAACTCTGCTTCTCCGCCAGTTTTGAGAAGAGCTAATTATCTGGTTAAGCTGTGCTTCCACTCACAGAATTAATTCAGCCAGAGGCAATTTAGATGTCTCTGCACATAAGTAATTTTGCCCAGGTAGATGGTGTACCTCTGCTGGGTAGAAGGAATTTAGATACTACTCTTTTTTGGAGGGCCAATACCTGGTGTTCAGTTGCTTTCCCAGTCAGAGAAGACCCAAAAACACTTATCCATTTTTTCTTAAAAGGCCCAATTCCCAAGCCATTAAGCTTTACATCCAGGCTCAAATTGTGAGCCTGGTTCACCATACTGGCAATGGGAATTTCTGTTGCATCCTGGAAAGCAAGATGCTTTTTTTTTTCTTATTTCTTCCCCAGCTGGAGAAAAAGGAGGAGGAAATTATTAATCATCTTTTACAGTTAGTACTCCTATGATAGGCACTTTTTTTGGCATACTAGTTTTCCAGCCATTGTGAGTGTATTTAAACAAAAAAAACAAACACACACAAAAACTTCCCATTTTAAATTGGGTTCTGAAGAAGATTATTTCATGGATGCTCACCAGACTTCCATCCCCTGGCCATTTAGTCCAGCTGACAACAAGAAAACAGAGAAGATACACAGCTGATTATATGAGAACTTGATGAGTGGGTTAGGCTGGCATCCAAATAGATGAAATACTACAGGAGTGTCAAAAAACCCCACTGTCTTCCTTTTAAGGCCCTGAACCTGCCACTTATGTCTTGTGTAAAAAATGTATCTCAAAGAGGAACTATATTGATGTGAGCAAACAGCAAAGACAAGAAAAGGCTGTTTATGGCTTCATTCTGAACAAACAGGATAGGATATAATTTCCTAGGAGTGGACAGTATGAAAGATTCAAGATAATGATAGCCTGATGTGGCCATATCTGAAAGATACTATATAGAAAAAGAAGAAAAAAAAAAAAAAAAAGGAAAACATCATGGTTTAGTCTTAACCAACATCTAGAGGGAAATCCAGCTGAACATCTTGCACAGGTTACTGGGCCAGGCATCTATATTTGAAAATTGACATTGAAATTACTGAAAAGCTGAGAAAATGTTATTAAAACATTAGAACACTGGACATCCAGAGTGGAATTATCCTCTCTTTACTTGAGTGCTCCACTCTGTCAGAGGCAGAAAGCTGGACTTCACAGTCAATGGAAATGAGACTGTGTCTAATGCAAAATTCATCATTAATTAATGCAGACATTAAAAACAATTCTAGTGAATTTCATCCTCTAAAGACACTCTCCTTTTCTATTGATTTTTTTTTTTTTTTTTTATGGAATATGCCTGTTTCAGATAGAATAAGCAGGCAACAAAGAAGGCAGGAGCAGAATTTGTTATGGAAGAAGGCACGGGGAAAGGAAGCAGATGTAGAAGAGTAGGGAACTACAGCTGCAAAGTAATAGTAACCTCAGAAAGTACTGAACAGATTGTGTACAGAGATGGTTGAATTTGTGCAAGGGCAATGAGAATAGAAATGGAAAGAAGAGAAAGCTAATGAGAACTTTTGAAATGTAAATATCTAAAAAAGGAGAATTGAAGCTGGATGATAGAATGAGAAGAGATGATTTTTGCTATTATGCAGAATGGAGTGCGGTGAGAGCTCGAGATAGAAAAGACTGCATTATGCATAATAAGGTTTGATCAATTTTTAAGGTTTGATGCATTTTTAAATAAATTTAACTTAAAAGCTATTTTATAGAATAAGTAGGGGAATGAGAACTTTTCACAAAGGAACAAAGAACTTTGCTAGTATCAAATCTGTTGCAACTAGAAAGCAATCAGCATAGGAGGGTATGGTATCAGCGACTGATTTCCTTGGAATGATACCACATTCACATTGCCTCTATGAAAGCAGGACATTTGTTTTCCCCTTTTGTAATACAGCACTAAGGAAACAACTATTTTTACTGAGAAGATAGCTAGAGATATTCTGGTGATAAAGGGCAAGGCTATTGTGGTAGCAGTCAGGAAAAAGGGGCAGGGTGGAGACTTTGCAGGAAGGGAACTTTGAGAAGGACACATGAGGAGCAAATGGAGGCAGAATCTCACTCCAATACTTCACTGCAACTTCCTCCAAAATGAGGTGTTTTGGTAAGTGGTAGGATTGGCTCATTGTTCTCAAGACAGGGCCGCTGGTACCATGTACTACAGACACGCATAAACCAAAAGCATTTTGATAAAATACCTCAGTACTTACTGCTCAGAGTGTTGGTGATGCCTGTGCAAACAACTCCAGTGTTGCTCTTGGATTTATAATATCATCAGAAGACAGCCATCAAAGTAATGCAAATAATCCATTTGCTTGTTCTGTATTTATCCAACAAACAATTCAAAGCAGAATCACATTCCAGCCATTTCATTCTACAACCCAGTCCTTTCTGATTAGGAAATTCAACAGAACATAATGCAAACACATTTAAATATGCTCCAGAAAGTGAAACAGGAAATTAACTTCTCTCTTACTTCTTGATACAGCAGCTGTGTACACTTTTAAATGTAATGGTTGTATGAACAACTTACTATTTCTATGAACTCTTATACAGACACAAAAAGGAATTTAGAAGTCACATTTGGAGCTAATAAACATCTGCACAGTCCCATAAATGAGTGGCTTGGGGCATTAGAACCACATGCTAAGTTTTTATTATCACTCTTCTTATTGATGCTGTTCAATAACAGCGCAGTATTTTCTGGGAATCCCATTCATGTATTTTTTGTAACATTCTGCTAGGTGATATTTAGTAGCAAAAGTAGATGCTGACTTCCTTTGCTAGCTAAATGGGAATTTAGGCTGTTCACTGTCTATCAATATTGCTAATAGTGCTGGCCTCAGTTTTCTTTTGTGGTATTTTTGTTGCACTCTGCTTTCATGCAAAGGCCTTTTGGTTTGCACAGTGGCTCATACATCTCGTTTGCAGCTGCTCAGTACCTGCAGGAAGAAGTGGGGTTAAAGTAAGCTGAAGTCAAGTTACTTGAAGCTACTGGACCAAATCTCTGACAGTCTTAGCTAGCTCAGTGTGAAAAGTGGCTGCTTGTGATCAACACAAGCTAATGTAGGACTAATGACACTGGAACTGGGTAGCTGAAAAGATGATTCACAGTTTTTGAGTTCTTTCCTGAGAGAAGCTTAGGCTGACATGAGTTGGGCCATAATGTTAGGATGGAGAATTTTGTTTCTGCAGTTGAAGTGATGGTCAGTGAAATTCTATGGCAACAGTTCAAACTGTATATTTGCTTCTTTTCCAGGCATAGACAATGCATCAATATTTATGGAATTATGTAATATTTCTGGAATCTGAAAGAGCTGCCAAAGAACTGTTTTGCTCTCTTCAACTTGAAATATCTTCACTATTTTCTTCTTGGCTAAAACAAAAACAATAATTATTCATCATAAGATTCAGTGATTGACCAAATTCTAGATTTTTGGAACAACCCAGAAATTCTGTACAATATAGGAAAGCTTCAGAGACTAGTAGAATCAATTATATCTTTATACATTCATAACCTGGAATTGGATATACCGGTTTCAAGGGAAATGTCAAAACATTTTCTTTTTAATAGAGAACTTCCAGCTACCTGGAAGTTGCAGACAGACTGAACTAAGAATTGCAACTCTGAAAATGGATGTCTATTTTCAGTTGCAAAAGGATGGTTATATAAATCTTCAGTTTTTACATTATATAAACTGGGCCTTTTATCTTGTTTGTTAAAACATCAAAGGAGTATACATTTGATACAATTTTAAAAAAACCTTTAATAAATTTTAATGGAGCTCAATTTGTTTTCTTTTGTGTTTTTCATGTTATTCTGTAAAGTGAAAACAAAATTACAAAATTCATTTTTATGCATTTTTATTTACTTTACAGCCCATTCTGGTTTGTTTGGACCAGTTAAGGCTGTGGATCATCTGTGTAACAGCCAATTGCCCTAAAATGAGGTCAGTGACTCAGCTAAGTGCAATATTTTGTAAGCTGTAAGAGCACATATATCATGTCAAAGCTGACACAGGTCTCATCCAAAATCACATGGGAAATCTCAGCCTTGCTGTAAAGCCTCATTAATTTCTGTGGAGAAAAACACACCATTTTGCACGTATGACATGGGCTCAGATGTTCTTACCAATCCCTTTCATATAAGATACATTGAATCTGTAATAAAGTGACCTACTCACAAATAGTCTGAGTCTTCAAAATGAGGAAGAGCTAAAAAAAATGTCGAGACATGGGAACATTTGACCATTTACCAATTATTCTCAAAATTTTTAAATGTTATGGATCCATTTTTTTGGTGTGTCTGAGTCTGTTGCACATTAAAATCATAGGAATGCCAAAAAAATCAGAACCATAAAACGTGGAAATATGTGAACAGCTTATTTTCATCTATTGTACACAGCTTCTCTTGTACTAACTCTCTGCCCAGACCTCATTTTTATGATTGAGAAACATTTTATGAAAACCAGCAGACTCTTTAAATATATAAACATGACTGTTATTGATATAATATCGGAAATTCTGAAAAACATCTAGTAGTAACTAGATCAGCATGTCCAGTGATGCATCTTGTATCAAGCTTTGGGAAAAAGTATGGAATTACTTGCTGCAAGCATGCAGTTGGCCAGATTAAAAAAAAAAAAAAAAAAAATTGTGTAGCTGACAATCTCCTACACTGCACTGTCTTGGCAAACAAACAGAGGACACGTTGCATGTATAACCTGGACTGCAAACAGTTATGGAAGGACAGGGCAGAGAAAATAAATTTGGCAACACTAAGCATGGATCTCAAGTAAGTACCCTAAAAGGTGTGGATATACTTCACATTATTAAATAGTACCAGATTAGACATCAGGTCAAGCTGTTAAATTTGGGCTCCTGAATTGTTTCTATGTCCCAGAGACGCCGTCGCGGCTCTTCGGGAGGCTGGTGGATAAAAGCGGCTGTACCCAGGGACCCGGAGAAGCTGCTGCCGTGCCGTGCCGTGCCGTGCCGTGCCGTGCCGTGCCGTGCCGTGCCGTGCCGTGCCGTGCCGTGCCGTGCCGTGCTCTGTCGGGGAGGGCTGTCGCAAGCCCTCACATCACCTATCCCGGGGACGGCGCCCGGTGGGAGCCGGATGCTGCGTGCGGCCCGCAGAGCCGCTCCGGGACATTTCCATTATGTTTTGTGGAAATGACCCAGGTCACTGCCACTGCCTGAACTTCCTTCGTCTTTATTTTTTTTTTTTTTTTCACTCCTGTGGTGTTATCAGTGTTCTGTTGAATATTCGTCACTGCCAAACCAGAGCGTTGTAAACACAGCAGCCCTTCCCTCCCTAGAGACCTGAGCAAGATGCCTTCCACATCAGGGCTGATGCTGAGGCGGGATCTTCCGTGGCACATCCCGCTGCAGGCAGGCGGGCTGAGCCCCTGGGGTCGCCTCGGGCTGGCTGGATCCTGTCCCCTGTCCCCCCCGGACGGGGCCCAGGGGCCAAGGCCTGTTCCAGCAGATGTGCCAGTGGGAGAGCCCTGGGGTGCTGGGCCTGGAGTATGGCCGCGGGGGAATGCAGCCATTGCTGGGTGCTTGAGGCAGGGCCTGTTAATGTTTGAAGTAAAACACTTCCGAGGTGACACTGCAGGAGGCTTTGCTTCCAGGAAGAAAGGTGTGTTTTCCTGGCGTAACAGAAGTTATGGTAACTGTTAGTGAGGAGGGGGCACACAAAGTGTGTCCTCGCCCCAGGCCAGGCGGGGAGGGAGGGTGCGGGAGAAGCCACAATCGCCGGCAAAACTGGAACAGGAGCAGCGGCGCTCCGGGCGTGCAGCCCCTCCGCACTGCCCCGTGTCCTCAGCTCACCCGGCAGCGCTGGCCCCTGGCACACCTGGGATGGAAAATGGAATTTTCTTGCAACATAAAGCAAAAGGAGCCTCTATCTTCTGGGTTTCTTCCACGATGCAAGTGAAATGGAAAGAAGGAAGTGTTTGGCTGGAATGCCTGGAAGAGAAGGGAGAGAGAGCACAAGAGGGGGCTGGGACAAGGGCTGGATTTAGGAACAGGGAGGGAGGGAAATGGAGAGGAAGGGCTGCCAGCGGCTGCTGGCGCTGCAAGGGAACAGGAAATAGAGAAGATAAGAGTAAAGGAAGGGGGGGCAGAGGCAGAAGGGGACAAGAGTGATGTTGCTGTGTGGGCAAAGGCCATTTGAGACTCGAACACTGTGCCTGCAGCTCGATTAATGTGTTTGAAAAATTCTGGGATGTTAGGAACGCTGTCAAGCAGGTGACTTAACACAGTTCCGATGACTTCACCCTGTGCTATGTGTACTTACTCTGGCCAGCAAGGATCAACCTTTACTTGAATATCTCAGTTGCTAAACTAGCTTGGGGTTGCACATTTAGCAAATATATGTGGAAGACGCTGATAGGGTTGCATTGAGATTTTTTCAGGGTCCCTTCATCAATAATGCTAATGCTTTCCACAGGCAATGACAGCTCTGGAGCAAAAGAACATTTGGTGTTAGAAGCAAAGGGCTCTGAAATAGTTTGTGCTCTTTACTGCTGCAGAAAAGCTTACACTTCAGCAAAAAAAAAAAAAAAACTTCATCCCACACTCAGGGGACTGCTTAGGAGAGTGACTAGCACTAGATCCCAGGTCTATAAACAACTGGACACAACTTGAAGGACATTTATTTGTATAAAAGCATCTGTCTCTTTTCAGCCTAGTCTACTGTGCAAAAAATGTGGTGACTTGTTTGTGTAGTGCTTCCTATCTCCAGTGATAAGCTTACTAAAATTAGGAGTTATGAAATAACCTAATTTTTAAACTTCTGACAACTGTCAGGTTGAAATTCACAAACTTGCAAAGAACTAATTTAATGTTTTAAATTTAATCCCTGCTGGTATGTTTCAATCCTAAAGACAAATATATTTCATCAAAAGAAAGTCTTGGTTTTTAATGGTGTTTTTATTCCCACATTGAGCATCCTATTTTTATGCTTTATTTTATTGGGGTTTGGACAGCAAGGTTTTGGAGTGGGGGACTACCAGGGTGGTTTCTGTGAGAAGCTGCCAGGAGCTTCCCCATTCCCCGTGTCCCGCACAGTCAATGCCAGTCAGTTCCAAGACAGACCTGCCACTGGCCAAGGTTGAGCCCATCAGTGATGGTGGTAGCAACTCTGGAATAACAGATTTAAAAAGGGGAAGAAAGCAATTGTGCAGCTGCAAACGAGAAAGAGGAGTGAGGATGTATGAGAAGAGCAACTCTGCAGACACCAGGTCAGTGAAGGAAGAGAAAGAGGAAGTGCTTCAAGCACCAGAACAGAAAGTTACCTGCAGAATGTGATAAAGACTGTGGTGGGGCAGGCTGTCCCCTGCAGTCCACAGAGGTCTGCAGTGGAGTAGGGATTCACCAGCAGGCCATGGAATACCCATGCTGGAGCAGTCTGTTCCTGAAGGGCTGCGCCCAGTTGAAGAGGCCCACGCTGGAACAGTTTGAAGAATTGCAGCCTGTAGGAAGAATTCATGTTGGAGAAGTTCATGAAGGACTGTCTCTAATGGGAGCCACCCCACAGTGAAGCAGGGGAGGAGTGTGAGGAGTCCTCCCGCTGAGGAGGAAGGAGCAGCAAAGACAAGGTGTGATGAACTGACCAAGCCAGCAGTCCCAGCCCCCCTTCTCCACTGAGGAAGAGGTAGAGAATTTGGGAGAGAAGTTGAACCCGGGAAGAAGGGAGGGAAAAGTATATTGGTTGTATTTCTGATTATCTCACTCTAATTCAATTTATTATCAAACAAGTCAGTTTCCCCAAGCTGCGTCTGTTTTGCCTGTGACAGTAATCAATTAATGATCTCTCTCTACTTTGATTTCTACCCACAAGACTTTCAGTGTATTTTTCTCTTTGTCCAGTTGCAACGGGGAGTGGTAGGGTGGCTTTGGTGGGCACATGGCTTCCAGACAGGGTTAATCTGCCACATTTATTTAAGACATAAAATATACCCCTTACCCAAAGATTTGATGGCAATGGCCTAGTGATTTGCCCTTTTCAGAAATTAACGTTATGTTTGCACTATGACTGTGTTTTTGGGGTCTCTTTTCCATTTTTTTCTTTCAAGAAGCTCATACCCCAGGGTAGATATATAGGAAGGGTTCCATTTTTCCTAGGCACTGTATGGGAAGACAGTAAGTGGTAGATAATCCATGTGTTCCTTTGGATTCATTGGAGATATCATATACCTTTCCACTTGCTCTTATATGTAAGTGTCTCTGCCAGTCTTCCTATGGGCTAGATGGTGTTGGAGTAATAAGGCAATAAAGGATTGACAAGGTTGCATTTAATTTTCTAGAGCACAGTAATCTCCAGTTCTGTTTAGGATTCCAGTGTATGATTTTACCCCAGTACTCTTCTTACTTTTCTTAATAGTGCTGCATAGCAAAACTCAGATGCCTGCACTTACCATCTGCATAGGACCCGCATTCCTTGGAAGAGTTCACATGGGACCTACCAAGGCCTCTCTGTTCAGGTGACCACAGCCACAGTCAAAGTCAGATAGCAATTGCTGTTACCAGCTCAGCAGAGCAGCCCAGATTTCAGGAAAAGTTGTTTCCACAAAGGGAAGAACATGGTTTAAAGATCCTTGAATCCTAACCAGAGCTTTCAAACCTTTATAGTATCAGTTCAAAATGAAGATAGAAAAAATGGAGAGGCAGACAAAATGGAATTTGTGGTTCAAAGTCCCTGATATAAAGCAAATTCTTAATGATACTAGAACTATTTTCACTATTGTCACAGTAAGTTATTAGCTGCGTTTTGTGAAAAACAACAACTGTATTTTTTACTGCTGAGGAATGTCCTGTCTTACAACCATTGTCTTTGCACTGTGTTTGCTGTAGATCGATGCCTCCATTCTCCAGTACTTTGGAAGCCACACAAGAAGAGCAGTTCTCTATGCACCTCCTGCTCACCATGAAACTGACCGTCAGCTCTGTCAGCGAATCCTGGCAAAACATGGATATACAGTCACAGTCCTTGAAAACAGGGGACTCGTGGAAGATCTGAGGCATGAGGGCCCTTACAGTAAGAATAATTGGACTTACTTAATATGTTAATTAGTAAGTGTGGTCACTAAATGTAGAATTGATTCAGTGTTCTTCAACAAACATAAAGCATAAAAACTTTGATAAAAGTAGTGCTAGAAGCCATATTCTAGCCCTCCTCAGATGTGTGGATAATTTTCCACAGTTAGGTGATTATTCCATTAGCTATACCCTTCTGTAAAAAAATGCAGAAGAGTAGTTCATCATAGTCTTGACAACTACATAAGATCAGTTTGGTTCCTGATGGCTTCTCATACCGACTTCATCAATATAATGGAGGATTTTCAATAAATTGTTTCATAACAAAACACATACCTGCTACACTTTCTACCTTATCATTTTCTCTCCTAAAGAAAACTTGTTTGTGTGAAGTTTATTTTTAACTCTAGGAATGTTTTGATTGTTCTGTAAATTTGTTAAAGAACACAATATAGAACAAGTACATTTTGCACTTTATGCTGAATCTGGGGTAGATTACTCTTGGTTCTCAGTTCCTCTTGAAATTTGAGCCACACTTCAAGCAGTCTACTGAAGAATCCTGATCTCTTGCACAAAGGTCTGTAGCTTTACTGTGTAG